CCGTCGCCGTCTCCTGACTCCACAACACGGTTTAGGAGGTCCTCCAATAGCTGGGGCGAGGCTCAGAACCCGGCACTGCACCTGCCTGGTGGAGTTCCACAGGGCGAGCACCAACATTAAATTTGTCTGACGGTGTAAACATATATATAGCGTGGGGTTGCGTAGTACTGTGGTTTTTGATCCGCCTTCTGGCCCAGTATTTCCGACTTCAGGATCTCTTGGGAGGGAGAGTAGGCTCATCCCTTCGCCTTTACCTCGTTTGTTGTCCCATCCAGTTTCCCGCTGGGGGTTAAGACCCCAACCTTCAACTGGATTGCTGGGAAGAACAGGGTCCACCACGTGAAGGTGAGGTAGGCTTGAGCAAGAGAGGCTAATAGACATTAAGAGTCTTGTATTGCGCATCATTGCTCCATTTGGACCCCGAAGATTGGCTAATAAACAGCATCCTGTCTCGGAAGCTGAAATATTTTGGTCATGTCAAGCACCAAGACAGATTGGACAAAATGATAGCAGAAGGCATGGTACCAGGAAGGAGGGGCTGGGGCCAACCAACACGAAGATGGGCACAGGATATAAGTGACTCCTTGAGTATGAAAGTACATGAGGCGGGAGAGCTGGCGAGATACCGAGTTTCTTTCAGGCAGACCGTGATGAGAGCGACGTTCGGCAAAGGACCTGCTACATGATGAAGGTGATATATCAAGTACAGTAAAGTAAGGCATTTAAAATTGGACATTATATGTTAACAATGAAGCAGTTTATGTTATAAATGCAAAAGGCTTATGCTCAAGAGAAAGAGAGAATAAACCCACTTAGATTTGCTGATGTTGGCAAAGTAGGCTGTGGTATAAACATAACAGTGAGACATTGATAGAAAAAAAGTCTTGCAGATCTGCTGTAAACAGACTCACTCAAATATTGTCCAAAAATGTTTGGTATTGGGGTGGGGAGGGGGAAATATGGCAGAGGAAAGGATCAAAGGAAGGTCCCTGCTGTTTTGATTCTTGCCATTTGTTTTGTAATAAATATTCTTTTTTGGGCATTTTATTTGTGTTAGTGGTGTTAAGACAATAAAACAAAGAAAATTGAAATATTTTGGTCACTTGAAACGTCATGGAGGTCTAGAGAGAACAATAATGGAGGGGTATATGCCTGGGAAGAGAGGAAGAGGAAGGCCAAGGAGAAGATGGGTGCAGGATGTGGCAGATGATCTCCAGATGGGTGTATCAGACGCAGGACATCTTGCTCATGATAGGAAGGTTTTCCGGAGGGTTGTTATGGCAGCGAGGTTCCGCGAGGGACATGCTACTGAATGAATGAATGAATAGTGGTGTTAAGGTCCAGTCTTTGTGAGCTGCATTGACACATAAAAGTACATTAACTTTTGTGTTTGAAATGTGCCATTTGAGAAAGGAAAAATTGATGAAATTTTATCAGATCCTTCATTTAGTTTTGGGATTTAGCTTTGTACTGATAGTTGGAATTCAGGCTAGCAATTTTTAGTATTGCTAGGATGATGTAACATACATTTATTTGATCAGCATTTCATCTATGTGTATATATAATCATTACCTTGTAATTGTAAAAGCTGAATCTTTATTTAAATTTAAATGTTTGTGTTTCAGAATGTTGTTTCATTTTTTTTAACGGATGATTTGGTCAGTATGTTCATTTTAATTTGTTTCATGTCTTGTTTAGCTTCTCAGGTAACAGCTTCATCTTTCTAAAGGTAGTTTGTGTGTTTTAATTTCTTCTTCGCGTTCACCGGCTGTAAACTCTGGCAGAAAGTTCTGGTTGTTTGCCCACTTCTGCACATGTAATGCATATGTGTCATTATTGATATCGGTGTGACTAGTACACTTTCCTAGGAAGAGTGTGGGCCATATTCAAATCCCCTCCAGACAGTATTATTTTCTGGTCGGCGTGGTTCTTGGTCACAATATTTTAAAGAAATCGCTGTGTCATGTGGGAATCATCAAAATTTTAGGGATGTTTCAAAGAAATATTTGTGCCATAATAAAATAAACTAAATGTTAGGAGTGTTTCAAATAATATATTAAATGTTAACAGTGTTTCAATTAAATACCTCTTTAACAAGAAAATACTCCAAATGTTAGCTGTTTCACTAAATGTTAAAGATGTTCAGAGAAGTGCCAGTCCCATAAACTAAACATTAACAATATTTTAGGGAATGCACTAAATATTAGGAACATTTTAAGGAAATACTTATCACCTTCTTGGAGCTATAAAAAATGTTTTTGTTTTTTTGTATTCACTTGTGACCGAGCTGACCCAAATTGTACTGTAAGCATGTAATTAAACAGTTAAGGACCTTGTGTATTCAGCACCAGTGCATCTTAAATGAAACACAAAATGGTATTATCTGAGGTGTGAACTGCATTTTATCATAAAATTCAGTGAAACCAGAGAGAGGCAGGGTAAAACAAAAATAATTCATGAGAGAGATTCTTGCTAGATGGCAAGAGTGAGAGGCACTAGATACTGTTGTCACCACCAAAATTAGTGTTTTATTTTTATGTATATAATTTTGTTGCTGTATGTAACTAGCTTTTGTATCCAGTAGTTTGCCTAATAAACATTCATGTTTACAATATGGAGTGTAGAGTTTTCTCTTTGCTGAACTTATTTTGTAACAAGCTACCTACTGTGTGATTTTTCTCTGTATGTTATAATCACTCCACATATTACCTTGTAACCTTGCTCTGTGTTTCCCTTGAGTTGTTGAATTGATATCCATAAATACCCAAGACACAAAGAATTAAAATAATTAATTTTCTGCACAAATGAATAAATGTTTGTATTTTACAAGTAATTGTTTTAGTTGTTCTCAATATTTCCATACAGCAGTACAGATTTGACAATGTATTTAAAACAAATTTCAGTTTAGTGACATGTTTATAAGACACAGTTAACGCTTTTGGCTGCTTTCAAACCTGGGCAGCATTTAGGAGGTCAGGATATTAATTAATTTACTAAAAAAATTCATTTAGGTGGATTTTATTGTGAACCAGTTGTTTTTAAACCATGCAAGAATATCCCATAGCCTCATTGATAGAGGTCATGGCTATCATTCATTTATTGACTTACGTTCTTTTTAGGACGTAATTTTTTGTTATTTGAAGCCCCACTCTGGCTTTTGCCAGGGGCCGCAATATAGGCAGGCCAAAAATATGGCCAATTGTCGGAACGCGGTTTCTGGGACCTCTCCACGGTGATCCTCATCCACATGGTGGCACTTTGTGTCATCGGGTGTTTATCGCTTGTGTGATGTCCTAGTGGGGTAGAAAGTCAGTCAGTCAGTCATGGCCTGAGTCACCATATACTTTTTTAAAGCCCCCAAGAATATATTTTATTTAAAACTTCACTATGTTCTTTGCTTTATATATATATATATATATATATATATATATATATATATATATATATATATATATATATATATATATATATATATATATATATATATATATATATATATATACATATACATATACATATATATATATATATATATATATATATATATATATATATATATATATATATATATATATATATATATATATATATATATATATATATATATATATATATATATATATATATATACATATACATATATATATATATATATATATATATATAGATAGATATATACATGTGTGTACATACAAATATATACATACAAATATATACATACATATTTATATATATATATATATATATATATATATATATATATATATATATATATATATATATATATATATATATAGATATATATATATATAATACTTTAACTTTTGGGACCAGATGCTGTTTATGAGCCAGTTCTCCTTGATGTTCAACTCGTTCAGAATGTCGATATTTTTCCTCTTCCTGATCCATGGTATTCTAAGAATGTTTCTATAACAATTCAATTCAAAAGCTCCAGTCTTTTTCCTCAGTGACTGAGTGAGAATATATAATAGGTCTCTTTAAAAAACAAAAAATTTCCGTTCCGATGAATATATAAAAATATGTATGATATGCCACTGGTGTAAAAAAGGTCCTTTCCAGGAGCTGAATTTACAGAGGGGAAGAACAATTTTTCATTGTTAAACACACATTTTTAATATGCACACATAAATACATAATAAAAATAAATTAGACATAAACTGCAAAATCCATTTCTGCAGTAATAATTGTAATTTGACTGATTACATGCACAAATAAACTGCAGTAATGAAATCAAACTGAATGACAAAATCACCAATGCAGAGGGAAAGAAACAAATCCCAGTGATTCAAGAGGTGAAGAAATGACACTAGTGCTAAAACAGAAGACACTGGAAAAACCTGATAATATAATAAGAAGGTTCTTCCTCTGCAAGAACAACAACAAGAGACAGATGAATTATGTAAGGAAGGCTTAGTTTTCTAGCATGTCCTCTGGTTGTCTCAACTCTGTGTCAAAACCTGATACAACTACTCTTTTTGTTGTACAGCTCTCTTTCTCTCTGTACGTGTTTGTGTGCATGTACGTGTGCGTGAGCGAGCCTGCATCTCTCATTCCCCCCACCTGTAAAACACAATGAATATAACATATGTATTCTGTGTGCTGGAAATAATCTCAGCCTGTTATAACTCAGGAATTTGATTTTCAACTTCCTGTGGGTTCAGATTTCAAACAAGTAGTCAGATTGTTCTATGTTCAGATTTAAAGCTAACAGTCAAACTTTCAACATCATCTGGGATCAGATTTCAGATTAACAGTCAGATTTTCATGCTCGGGGTTCTCATTTCAGACTGTCCTACATACAATACATTCTGGATTAAGATTTTAAGAAAAGTTGTATCAGATTTTTAACATTCTCTGGGATCAGAGTTTAGACCAACAGTCAGATTTTCATGTTCTGGGTTCTCATTTCAGACTAAGTCAAATGTTCAACACATTCTGGATTCAGATCCACACGAGAAATGGTATCTGGATTAAACAACTCATGCAGAAGCGTGTAATTCAGTTTCTTTGTGCTCATGGCTGGTTTCTGGTGCACTTCGAGATCCAAATATGGTACTTCCTACTCTAACGCTGGTGCTTCCCATTTCAATCTGAAAAGTAAACAAGTTACCTTGAACTCACTATGAAGAACATATATGTTTTTCAGTTACTGCAATTTTAAAAAAAATATAAATATTTATATCATCAAGTGCCTTGCTGACTGATGTGGGTGATTATGCCTCTCTACAGTCTGCGATCTTCAACTGCATTTTATCAAATTGTGTGTTGACACCTCTCCATGCCATGACGAAAGGCTGTCAAGAATCATCTCGTGTTGGGTTCCTCTCTCTTTCTTCAAATCTTTTGAGAGGTCACAACATGCTCTCTTTTTTAACGTGACCAATAAATGAAGTCTCTTTCTGATGTTTGTGATAAGTTGTCTTTGAGCCTCCTGCCTCTTTCAAATCACCTGGGATGCTCTTTATCATGCCTTTAAATACATATATATATAAATATATATATGAACACACAAACACATAGACACGCATATATATGTGGGTGTGTGTGTATATATTAATCTTCTTCTTTAGATAGCTTGACAAAGATTATCTATTTCTGCAATGACATCTCTAGTATGAACATATTTTAATAATTAAGGAGAGAGCTGAAAGAGGAATTAGAAGAGATAAGTCAAACATATCTGGCCACACTAAAAGCACTTATATTTCTTTTCTTTTTTTAAATCAGAGAAGAGAGAGGTCAAACACAGGCAAGTAAGACACAACTACAACACAAAGACATGGAGGGATATCAAGCAGAGACTTTACAGTGATTGCCTAAAGGTAAGCAATGATACAAGGCAGGAAGATGGCATCAAGAGGTGGGTGAACACCATGGGTAAATAAAGTAACAAACAAAAACTGCTGGAGACCCATTGCAGCCAGCTTCATAATGGAGATGGAACTTAATGATATGTCATCGTCTTCTTCAGTGCTCATCATTAGAAGGTTGTTAGCATGTTGTGGTTTACATGTTGTTCTTCCATCACGAGATGTATTACTAATAAAGACCATTGTTTATCTAAAGCAATGATAAATGGATGAAAGTGACTTGCGCAAGGGCTTGGATTTAAGTGAGGAAGAATTGCCCAATTCATCGACCTCACTCTCTGGCCTGTGTCCTTTTTGATACAATGGCAAGACTATCTCGAGACTACTGGAAATGGACCTAGGTGCAGTGGATGACCAAGGCGGCTCAAGTGCCCTGCCTTGTTCGAAGCTCTCCATACAGCCTACTGGTAATCGCCTTTTAGCCCGTTAAACTATGCAGGGTAGGCATATCCCAATCACTGAGTGGTTTAGAACTAGGTTGGCTACCCTCTCCCGGTTTAGCCAGCCTGTCAAAGCTGTCAATGTATGATTCGTTCCTAGGGATGAAATAATTAAGGTGCAGTGTGCTTTTTTTTTAACCCCCAAAATGGAGCCCCAGAAGCCACATGGGGATGTCACTTAGTACTTATATAAAAGCAACAAAATTTTACAAATGAAAAATTGTAACTGAAGTAGCAAAATGCAGTACTCACAGCATGTTCAAAATCGTTGGACATGCCCATGCTAAGATCCAAATCCTGTGGCCTCATGTCCAATTCCTTGCACACATTTTCTCGAGCTTTGAACAGTGCCTTTAACAAAAAATGAAATAAGTAAATTTCACATGAAACTTCATGAACAAACTCTAAAAAAAAAACAATGTTCTGATTATCCACGTGGCCTGATGTTTATAGTAGCCTAATGTTGAAACTCTAGCAGTGGAAAAAATGTGTTCATTCTTCCAATCAGCACAGTTGTGTTCTTACCCAATCCTCACATAATCCTTGACAGTAAAACAGGGAGCTTCTCAAAATGCTGTAGCAACTGTCACAGTATATTTTCAGTGTTTGTAGCATTAGTGATCTTAGCTGTTTCTGAAAGCATTTTGTAGCTGTATAAATCCTGGTGATTATTAAATATTTGTAGCAGAAGCAATATTAGTGCGTTTTAAAAGTATTTGTAGCAGTAGTTATCTTAGTAATTTTTTAATGTTTGCAGCAGTCTTATCTTAGTAATTTTTTAAGTGTTTATAACTACTGTAATCTTTGTAGTTTTAAATAGTGTTTGTAGCAATAATAATCTAAGTGATTTTTTAAAGGTGTATATAGCAGTAAATATATGGCCTCAGTCAACTTTCTAATAAAAAGTGAAGTAAAGTAAAGATCCCTTTTCACGCCTAAGGCGCATCGGGTATATGGGAAGAGTGTCCCATATTTTTTTACAGACCAATCGGCACTGGATGGGTAATGTGGTCAGCATTACGCCAGCCATCTTTACCTTTAAAAGACAGCCATCCTGGTACTCATTTTAAGCTGGGTCGACCTGCGACGCCTCATACCATGATAAAAATCCACGCAGCCAGCAGTGGGTTTCGATTGCGGTTCGTTGGATTACGAGTTGGACTCGCAACGCCTAAGCCACGGACGCCGCCAACTTTCTAATAGCTTATAATACATTGTCCAGGTTTATAATGAACTTTGATTTACCTGAAAATCTGGATTTGGGCCTGTACTTGGATCATGATCAAAGGAACCAATAGTCATCAGACCAACCAGGCTAATTCTGGGACACTCTTCTTTAATATACTTCACCAGCTGTACGACTTCTTCGGGTGCACACCCACTTTTGCCTGGAATATCATGGAAATCAAAAGTACCAGAAATGTGTAAGAATATATATAAACTGTGTGTATATAATAGTCATAACTTTCAAATTCAAAGCAATGAAATGCTATTAAATATATCAAAGACACATTTTCCCATTACAAATGTGAATAAAGAAGGTGAAAATGCAACTATTAACAGAAATATAAAAACACACCACATTCAATTGTAACTGCTGTGTTACCATGGTAAATGCAAGCTTACATCTATGTTCCTTTGTCTATATAGCATCGGACTTGAAGAGAGTATTGCTGGAGCTTCAACAAAGTCCATATCTGCTTCATGCAAGATGGCAGAAAGCAATACATACAATGTGTATATAGGAGACCAATGCGGAGAAAGGTATTGGTTAATGTGAATAAGGGCATGCTCAGAGGCATGACACTGCAGCCAGCAGTGTTAAGTTTGGCCAGCTTCTCTTTGGAGGGGTGGAAAGTGAAATTTAAGTAGCCTGTCAACAACCCATAGAGCACCCAGGTCAACCACACCTCCTCGTGGTGCATGCCAGAAAATCGAAGCCGTGAGGTTTCAGGCTAACAGGGCAATGTCTTGCCTGGAAGGAGATGAGCACCAACCAGGTCAGATGCTTTTCCTTGCCCTGCCATGCGATGGGCCTAGCAAGCTGGAGTGATGTATGATTGCTACTACACAAGAAATAATGAACACCCAAGCCACCCAAGAAGCGCAAGACAAATACAGGAAACTATGACACTCGGCTACAACCTGGTATCAGTGAGATGACAAAAGAAGAAGAAGAATGTCAATAAAGGTTAAGGTTAAAGCCCGAGAGGATCAACTTCACTGCACCAGGTTTTATTCCTTATGAGTCAGTCTCTCCTCAGAGTAGCGAGACCATCTGTTGAGGGGGTGGGAGTATAATGACTCCATGGGTTTCACTAGCAGGGAGAGTTAAGATTAGTATGTATGCACAGGGAGAGTAAACATCAGTATGTATACCAGACAGAATTAGACAAAGATGGAGATAAGCTCATGTGGGTATTTTAAAATTATAATTTTTCTCTAAGAAGAATTAAAATTGTTTTCTACCAAAACTTATTTAATTCCAGAAATCTGCTGTGCAAAACATAAATTATCACAATAATTATCAATCTGGAAAGTGAGCTAGTAATGTCCCCTTCCCCCCCCCCCCCCCCCCCTTTTCCCCCCCCCCCCCCCCCCCCCCCCCCCCCCCCCCCCCCCCCCCCCCCCCCCCCCCCCCCTTTTCCCCTTTTTTTTCCTTCAAGGGATTAAATAAGTATTTTTTTTTTAAATAATAAAAATACAGTTTCAATATAATAACTCTAATACAAATTAACGAATGTTTATAACAGAGACAGACAACATACATGAAACTAAAATACTTACTTTCTTCTCCACTTGTGTTCACCTGAGCCATGACATTAAGAGGATCTATTTTGTTTAATCTCTGCCAGGTTTCATTTATGGCTTTTGCAAGTCGGATACTGTCGACTGTTTCGACAACAAAAAGATTTGGTACATCTGGGGATGAAAAATCTTTCAAGTTTTAAAGAAGTACGGTTTTTCAAATAATTTCATGTACTTATGTTTATTTTAAATTTATGATAAATAAATACATTTACTTACTTCCAAATGCTTCATCTTCTTCTTTGCGCTCACCTGTGAAAATCCCAGATGCTTGTTCACTTCTGGAATCTGGTCTTGTTTCAGAAGTTGAGTTTTCTTCTTCTTGGTTCATATTATTCTAAGAATTTTTCTGTAGCATTTCAGTTGAAAAGCTCCAGTTTTTCTCTTCAATGACTGAGTAAATGTCCATGACCCTTCCTGATAAGTTGCCATGGGAAAGATGCATGATCTCAAAAAAAATTTCTAACTAGCTTGTAGGTACCATGCCACAGGTTCTTCATACTGTTTACTTCTTCTTTCTTCTTTGCATTCACCAGCTGTAAACTCTGGCGAAAGTTCTGGTTGTTCATCCACTTCTGGACTACAGTCGTGTTCCAGAACCTGAGTGTCGTGTGTGCATCCGTTTTACAGATCTGACTTTTTATGCAGACTGCTGGTTCCTTGCCTCTCAGGCAGATGCAATCTGACTTTAAAGGAAGCTCGCAATTAGTGGACTCTTATGATATGCTTTTCGGGTAGGCAGTGGGTCTATTCTTGTTTTCCCCATTACAGGGCCCCGGAACCCACAGGGGGACATGCTGTTTAGACTCTGCATTGCGAAAGCCGGTCTTTTTTTGGGAAAGGGGGCGGGGAGAAGTCTCTTGTGCAGTCATCATTGTTGTTCATTACTGAGCCTAAACATTCAAAATATGCGACATTGTTTTAAATCTCCTGGCTATTGATTTTAATATGCGGTTGATGTGTTGTGTTCACTGTGGACATAATTTTTATTTTCAAATTCCACTAAATGAGTAAAAATACATTAAAATTGGGAGTAGTCTACATTACAATTAATAAGTAAAATATAAATACCTAACTCAACGGCAGAAGGTTTTAAATAATTACATTTAAATTAACATACCTAACAACTTGGACACTTTGTTTCTTTGCAAATGTCCAATGAAATGCCACCTGATATCACGACACCGATCCTGTAACTGAGTAAAAGTATAATATTGAAAATGTAAATGGAGAGAATTTAAAACATTAACACATTTGTATGAAATATTAAATATAAAAAATAAAGAATGCTGGAAAAAATTATAAACTTTAAAACTGAAGTCATTCTACAGAATCTATAAATTATACTAAATAAAATAAGACACCCATACTGCTAAAGTAAATGGATAGAGAAATGTTAAAATAAATTTATATCGCACAAGTTAGTTGTGTATCCTTTACAGGACGTTGCAGAAGCAACCCCAGCATTTTTTGGCTGTTGTTGTTTTTCTAGGCAAATTTACATCTAGTAGTTTGCCATTTCTTTCTTATATAGCACACTGATTCGAAAAGACCTTCTCACGTCACTGGAGCATTGGACATATGGTGCTAGACCATTATAAGCTAATCAGCACTTGCTAGGGAATGAGGCAACATGGCCATATTTACTTCCCAGGATAATTCCTACTAACCATTTTAGACTGAGCATCAATATTCTAGTGAAGAAAAGTAACGTAACTGCAATAGGCAAGCAATAGTTGTAAACACAATATAGGTCTGAACTATTTTAATGAATGAATCAATCAAGAACTGACATCACTGTACTTGAGACATTGCCATGTGTGATCCATTCCCTTCTTTAGTAACCAACGAAAAGTTTCCAAACTGACCGTGTCATCTGTCTCCTGATTAAACATTTTTTTTTTCACCTGCTGGTTTTCTTTTTGAATCACCCAGACCTTCTGCTCTCTCTCAGCTGACTCAGTCTCTCCAGATATGGATGCTCTGTCTGTTCTGCTGCACTGTTTACTTGATCCAAGAGAGCCTTCATAGTGTTCGCTTTACTGTAATATTCGTTCTATTGTAAAGTAGCTTGCCGTCCAGAGAAGCTAATCTTTCAGCCTACTCATTATGAGGCACACCTAAATGTCCTAAATAAAAAAATCCAAGATATTCTTCCTATCTGAGTCTTGTCAAGCGATGAAAGCCATTCTGAGCATAGGACACCAGCAGCCATTACAAATGACACCCTTAATATACAAACAATTGGACATCTATTTAGTCCTGCAGTTTTCAATGTCCTCTTCTTCAATTTGTTTTCTCAAGACTTCGATTCCAGCTTCTGTTTTAATCTGAGCATTATTCTAAGCACATCAAGATCTCACTGGTAATTAGACAGAGAGACAGAAGCCAACAATGTCACATATCAATTACCCCAGTCTTGAAACATCCGGCTATTTTAACATAGATAAAAAGACGAATTAGAAAGTATTAAACCCAACATTAGCTTACTGAAGTTTTTTCTAGTTGTTTTTTTTTATGTAAGAATATAAGATTAATTATCAAACATTATATCAAAAACACAGAAAAAATATAGCAAATGTAAGATAACTTTATCGTCCACAATATTATAAGACACATATATAAATCCCATTAACCTGGAGACAACATATTTTTCTAATTACTCATGTTTTAATTTAGTTATGCTATTAATTACCCTCACATTTCTGTATCACTTATGCCAACATTGTACTTTTCTACTGTGTCTAAATGTGGCAAATCCTGTAACTAATCTGATAAGATTTTATCTTCAAAGAGCGATGACCTCAAAATCCTACACTTAAAACAGGTGTTGACTGCTTCAACTGTAACTACAGAAATTATTCTGGTTGTCATTTTTCCATATCTCTTTCAGCACCAGGCTGCTATTTTAACTGGCTCTATCCAAGCTCCTGCTTTCCTCTTCTGCCTCTTTCTGTTTTCATTCTCCTTGTTGGTGGTTTTCAGATGAGATGGCCATGTATAAAGGCTGTGCTGGGACACATATCTTCCACTGATCCATATAGTTTGGTTCCAAATTAATGCTGACTGAACAAAGAAGACACAAACAAAAGATTGCACAATTTACTGCCTGGCATATTTCGCTGTATCTCATCAGGTGCATACTACAGTAACAATTACATAGATGAAGAAAATAAGTGAATCCTTTATAAGTGAAGTACAATTTCAACAACGATCAAACACAACATGACTGCCTGTTATTACCAGGTCAGCCGTAAAGAAAGAACCATCTCTTTCTGAACACAGAGTTCCGGGCGCCGGTGACGAATCGCAGAAGCTTCGAGAAATCTTAGTATTCTGCAATTGGTTGACATATGAAGGATTTGAAATGCGTTATTCTTAGTCACCACGTGTCCAGATTTTAGAAGATGGCGTGTTATTGCAGAGGGGTGAACTTTGCGGCTGGTATTCTCATTTTGAATATTATTTTGCGTGGATTTTTCCTCCCATACTAGAACGTGCTCAGCGACTCGTTGCTGACTGGTCATACCTGGGATCTCTCTACCGCATGTAAAGAGCATGTCTGCTGCAGTATTCTTGGGATGCCTGTCTACATGGGCAAAGTTTGCTGTTTCTTGAAACTAACAAGTTGTTGGGTTTGAAGAAGTTCTAATAATAATAATCATATTTGCCACAAAGAGTTAAAACAACAGCCGGAAAGTGCACTGATTTAACAACTAGATGAGACACACAGATTAAATTTTTTTTTTTTATGTCTGAGGTACTAAACACATGGTGAATTATTTGATACTGAATGAGATATTCATACACGTATGTGACATCTCTAAAATATTTTTATCTGAAGAACAAAAACACAAAATGTTGTCTCCTAAATAAAGCCAGGTGATGAGACTGCATTCTTGAGTTTCTAACTATTTTAAAATCACAGAACAGACACCAGTGACATTTTCAGTTATCTATTAAATGATATATATATATATGTGGATTCTAGGGTTTCTATGCTAACCCGACCTAACACAGATGCCATGAAAAGTACTAAGAAGTAAAGTTGGCCAGCAAGATACTGACTACATCAAAACTCAAGTGTCGATTGGCCTCTGGCACTATCTACCTAACAAGCCTCAAAAGAAGGAAAGAGGGCTTTTACATTATACATGCAGATGCATACAAAAAGAACTGATTGCCCACATCAGAAAGAGACAATCTATTTTTTTGGGGTCATGTGATGAGAAGGAGAAAACTGGAGTACATCAAAACACTAGGAAAGTTGGAGGGGAGGAGAGGCAGAGGGAGAATGAGAGAAAAGATGCAGGACAGTTTGACAGCATGGCACTGAGGATCATCTGTATCAGAGCTGATTGTAATTACACAAGACAGAAGGTTGTGGAAAACATGACCACCAACGCCATACGGCATGGACTTTGAGAAGAAGATATACATTTGTTATTTCCTTGACAAACCTTCGTATGTTTTACCATGTGTATTTTGTGTTCAGAAAATACTTACTTCAAAATCACTGGCTTTATCATACAGCTCCACCACCTGAGGGGAAAAATATATAAATGCTTAAATTATATATATACATGCATTGTCTTTTTCTTCTTCTTCTTCTTCACCAGCTGTAAATTCTGGTGGAAAGTCCTTGTTGTTTGTCTACTTCTCAGTTTTGTCTACTTCTCATGCTGGTCTTGCTCCAAGACTTGAGTTGTGTGTGCACATCCATTTTACATATCTGGTTTATTTAAATGCAGGCTGTTGGTTCCTTAACTCTCAGGTAGATGCAGTCGGACTTCAAAAAACCACTGATCCTATCTGAGCTGGCCAGGCCCCCAGATGGGAGCCTGTTTCCAGTATGACTGCAGGGAGGTGCAGCCAGGAGATAGCCAGGCAATAACCATGGATATTTAGTGCTTACCACAAGCTTTTGGCCAATTTGGATGATTGCTCATTGTCTTCACCAGGATGAGCCATGGTGGTCCTGGTGCAAGACAAAGTCAAGTTCAGCACCATTGCATCTCCTGCACTGTCTGTTATCTAGCTTTTTTCCTACAGATTGTTACTGGTGCAGATACATGTGCATTATTTATATGTATTAGTTTACCCTACAATGTAACAATGAAAGCCTAATAAAATACTCCAATAACTTAAAAAATTAAATGACAAGTGTTTCCTCATCAAGCAGTAGTCTGACTCTTTTTTCCATGCCAATAAATAATTGTAGATAATATTGAATGTCTGTCCAATTTTGTCTGTCATCAGATTCCAAGTAACTCGTCTATCTCCCATATTCCTAGAACATTACTTTGTATCTTTTCCATTTCATTGACCACATTCTCCAGCTTTAAGTTAAAGACAGCCAGGCAAAAACCATGAATGTTTAGTGCTTACAAAATGTTTTATTTTCCCCCTAATTTGCAGGACTGTTCATTTTAATTGTCCTGCTTCTACTAATTTCAGTAATCACAATTTTAGTGTGTAGTTAACAACAGGTAAGGCACAATCCCTATCTCAAACATGCTTGGAGTCAAGCCAATCATGTTCCATAGAAGAACTAGGTTTTTTCCTCTCAACTAATCTTGACAAATTTGGAGGATCTTCACTAGGCTGTGCATGGGACATTTAGGAATTTGTGCTGCTACTCTACTTCAAAGGTTTTTAGCGGAAAGGATTCATTTGTTGTGCTTAATTATATGCTGATGCAACTCTGTAGTAATGTGCCTGTCTAGATACAGTGAAATATACCTGGCAATTAATTGTGCAAAGTATTGTTTATGTCCATATTATTTAAATTCAGTCGGAGAAAACATCGTTTTGTACTCTGAAACGGTTAGTCTTGGTTTTTACATGAGTAGCTTGATGATAGTTTGGTATCACCCATGGCTTGACTGTCACACAATAATGTTCCAAGATAGCCATTAAGATCTTTCTTCATTGTATCTGCTTTAATTCATTTCAAATTGTGGAGTACTTCTCATACATATAACGTATGTGCGTGTATGTGTGTATATATATATATATAGGTCAGTACAGCTGACCACTTATACTGGCAGATACTCAGATCCCAGACCTGCATTTGTCACCTTGAGGTGCAGCTGAGAGTATCCATCAAGTATGATACCATGATACCCTTTCCAATACTCTCAAGTAGTGTGAGAAGATATTAAAAAATGAAACAAATTCAAACAAGATTTGTCTTTACTTACATAATTTTCTCCAAAATGCCTCTGTCCAGCATCATAAGCTTCAATAATCATGTCAACACTTTTGGTTTTAGACACAGCAACAAGTCTGGGTTTTGCATATTGAAGGCTCTTTGCAGATGAACAAAGACAATAAAATATTTATACCTTATTTCTCTCATATCATACAAGTAATAAACAAGTTCTACTTTAAATCATTGAAAGCATTATTATATGTATGTGTGTATTTGAGCCTGCCTGTGTGTGTGGTAGCAATGGACCTACTATTTCATTATTTTTATTCGACCGTTGTGCCATTATATGTCACACAGGGTTCACAGTATATTTATCCACTCTCTTCTGTCCAGTGCAATCACTCTGATATCATGGATGGAATCCAGTCCAGCACCTGTGGCTTCTCTCAACGTTCACCTTAGGGTTTCTTTAGGATGTTCTTTTTTCTTCAGTCACTTAATTTCCTATTTCAATTGCCTGTTTGGGTATTCTCTCTTCTCGGAATGTATCCAATATAACTCCATCTTCTCTGACTTATCATGCATGCTGCAAAAGGCAACTAAAGATATCTGCAGTGAGACTGGCTACTTTCACCCTATATTTTAGCTGTAAAATCCAATTACAGGTTCACATTAAAAAATCTGGCCATCAGTAATCTGGTTCCTTTAGATTTCAAGCTCAGATACTGAAGTGCATATTCAAATTTATCTAATTGCAAATTTGGAGGTTCTATTTTATTTAGTTAAAATTCTAAGGATTTTTTTTTTTCAATTTCACATTAAAATTCTAAGAAACTTTTTTATTCAGCTGGTAGAAATTAAAATTGTATTTGCTTTTCATTCAGTGTTTATTCCTCTAAATACCTGTTTCTGTTAAATATATACAGCATAAAAAACTATAAAAAATCTAGCGTTTTCAAAATCCTGCACTTCTCAGGTCTGGAGTTTGCCCGATATTTCAATGTTGACCTGTATAATCCTGAAGAACTCTACAAAGCGACTGGCATGAGTTGGCTGGGGGGGGGGGGGGGGGGGGGGGGTGTGTGTGTGTCAATGCTGCACTAGGTGATGAAGAAATTAGGAATGGAAACATTTTGTTTGCAAGAATTTAATTCAACAGAAAAGGTAAAATAATGTTCTTTTGTTAAACTCATAAATGGAAAGTCTATAATAGTAAATTCCACCACATCTTTAAAGAGGTAATAATTTTGAATTTGTTGTATTATTTTGAATTTGCATACATTAATTAAATTTGTCTATCATATACTTACTTCTGGTCGTCTGAGAGCAGCTGCCTCCATTTTGTCTAAGACCAGTTTTATCTGGCGAGCTATGCTAAATCCAGCAGTAGACATTTTGCGCTGCATATGTAGCACAGCAAACAGATAAATTATAACAGCTTCAAGTCTTAGGTTGTGCAGATCAACAAGCCAAATATTAACAGTCAATCAATTAAAATATAACTGGATAAATAATGTCTGAGACTTTTACATAGAATGTTATGTATTGGTCATGCATATAGTCAGTCAGATGGATGCATCCAACAAAAATTATCTATGGGCAGCTGGTTAAAAGTAGCAGAAAAAAATGGATATCCAGTTATGATTTGGGATCTGACGGAGCCAGACTTTTTAAACAAAATGGCCTTGGCTCCCAGGTTGACCCAGCCTTGAGCGGGTACCAGGTGCAGTCCTTGGACATAAAGGTACTGGCATGATGCTGACCACATCACCCACCAAGTGCCAGCTGCTCTATCTAGATCTATATGCCCAATAAGCTTGAAGGCATGGAAAAGAGTCCACACTTTTACAGATATGATTCGCCGGGCTCTCTAGCGTAGTTAGCTAAACCGGATTGCGCGGTGAGCGGGTGGCCAACTCCTTGTGGTCCGGGTTCACTCCTGGGGGTGGGCAGAAAAGCCACATTTTCTCCCAGATTTACGGTATTTACAATGGAAACAAGGCTGAAAGGTTGCGATATCCATAATACCGAGCCTAAGGGTTAACAACTCATGGCTTCTGGATACTAAAACAAACAAACAGATATGATTCTTATTTTTCTTCTTCATCAAATTATTTATATTTTAAATGTAATTGTGCTGTGCCTGTTTACAGCATAGCTGCAATATGTGTGCCAAATGGCTGACTTGTCCAACTTTTGAAGATACTTGTTGACTGGCAAAAGTGAAATAGAAATCAAAACATGGAAAATAAATGGCTAAAAATATCTTTAGCAAGATGCAAAATTATCGACCTCTAGTCTAGAGATGTTAACAATTTCGCCTCATTAAATCTTAAAACAAATTACTTTTTCAAATTGTTGTTAAACAGAGTCCTTATAATTCTCTAAAACTCTACCTAAGAAATTACAGAAGAGAAGAAGAAGCAGAAAAAATTTTCAGTCTTAGGCAGTTTTTATAGATATTCCAGGTGTCAAACCGCTAGACCCTAGATCAGGGCCTCCATGGTTGGGGAGTGGGGAGAGAGGGAAGGACAGACCTACTGTCCCCTAACAAGCATGTTGCGACTAATCGTGGGTGTTTCCTTCAAAGTTGGAGTGCATCTGCCCGGGAGTTAAGGAACCAACAGTTTGCATAATTAGCCAGATCTGTAAAACAGATGTGCATGCAAAAAAAGTTCTGGAACACAAATGGACGAACAACCAGAACTTTCCGGCAGACTGAGCCCATGAACACTAAGAATAAGAAGAATGTGCCACTAATGGCTTTTATTTTGGCAGCTATACTCTATAAAAGTGTAAAGTAGTTTCTTGAAAGAAAAAATTAACAAATAATATTAACTTTTCTGTACAAGACTTTAACAAAACATGCAGCCAATAAGAAGAAATAAGTGCTATGAATAATCCTGAGTGCACACATTTTTAGGCTCTCCTTCGAACGGCATCATAATATGGCGGTGTTCAGAGGAGTCAGGAGAGCCACATTCTGGCCATAAAATAGCCAAAAATATCCAAATGGAGCTCAGTTATATTGAAAAATATGCCGGCTCCGTATAACGAAACAAATGCTCTAACAGGGTCTCAGCGATATGTTACTTGCGGACCTGTTTCTGTGACTATGCCTCACCGCCGAGGGTATCCCCCGCGCCGCTACGCGCAGCGCGGATAGGGGCTAAACTAGATGGCTGGGACTCACGAGCGGCAGCTACCACATCTCCTGCAACTTCCTATAAATTACTTTGCTCGTGAGTCCCAGGCACCTAGTTTAGCTCCCCATCCGCGCCGCGCGTAGCGGCGCGGGTAATATACTCGGCGATGAGTTTAATCGCGTTTTGCGCATGCCGACAAGTCTGACATCTACTGCTGCTAAATCCTCCAATCGGAAGAAGAGTATTGCTAATCGCTTTCATCGTCTGTAATGTCTCGAAATTGTAAACGGTCGCTAATATCGTCTGCTAGTATCGTCTGCAGAAACGCTCGAAATTGTCAACGGTCGGTATTTATCGTCTGCTACTACCGTGTGCAATGTTGATATTGATTGTCAAGTAATCCTAGTTTTGCCGTAATTTGTTCCTTGGCAGACAGTCCGTATTTTAGATATGCCTGAACACCGTTCGGATATTTTATGGTCAGAATGTGGCTCTTCTCCTTACCCCGCCATATTATGATGCAGTTCGAAGAAGAGCCCATTTTTATATACTAGCGCCACCCCCCCCCCCCCTTTTTCCACTATGAAAGCCGGTGTGGGACTCTAAAATAAAAATAAAATAAAAACTGCGTCCCATATTGGGGCAGTTGTTATGCTGTTATGATGATCAAAACGGCTACGAAGATTAGAAACGAATTTATGAAGAAACTTTCAGCAGCAACAACAGGTCACTGGCCAAGTGTAAAGGTATAAATCAATTCAGGTGTGTCAAGCTCTGCAAATGTATTTTGTGTTATTTACATGAAGCAATTATAATCAAGCAAACCTAAGTAACCAACTAGTAGTTGAACTATCAACACAATATAAACTTTATCCCGAGGTAACACGACCCAAGTACTTTAAAAGAGAGTTACATCCCATCGCCAATAATGTCTGCGCTCATGGAGAAGGGGGTGTGTCCCTCACTGATGAACTGGGTAGAGTAGAAGCTGTCCTACATTCACGTTTGATTCTTCTCTCCTGCCTAGTTCCTTCAGAATTATACATTATCGCCACGGAACTACCGCAGTGATCTGCTATTTAATATGTATACAAGCAACATGTCAGAACTAGAAGCGCCAGGCGTTGGTATGATATTGACATTTGCAGATGATAATTTTCTGATTTTGCAAAACTGGCAGAGGAGCATAAGTCATTAGGTAGCAGCACGGCTGGAGTTTAGCTGCCGTAATAAATTATAAATCTAATCATCCCCTTGAAGGATGCAATTTTTCGTCATTTAAAGCCCTACTCTGGCTCTTGTCAGGGACCGCAATATAGCCCAGACATAAAAAATGGTCGGTTCTCCTTGCAATAACGGTCATTACTTGGAGGGCGACGGCCGCTTAGTCGGAGTTCAGTCCCCTGGCTGCAGTGCAATTACGGAGTGGACAAGGCACGAATCACAAAACACAGTGAGTTCAACATGGCGTCTAGGCCACGCGCTGCGACTCACATTATCCTAACCCAAACCCCAACCCTACCCCTAGCCCTAATTATGTCATTTGTGTCGTTCCCTCTTTTCCACTCCGTAATTGCACTGCAGCCAGGGGACTGAACTCCGACTAAGCGGCCGCCGCCGTCCAACTAGCCACCGTTATTGCAAGGAGAGCCAAGCCAAATGGTCTAATGGCTGAACGCGGTTTCTGGGACCTCTCCACGGGTGATCCTTATCCACATGGTAGCACTTTGTGTCATCGAGTGTTTATCGCTTGTGTGATGTTATAGTGGCATAAAAGAAGATAGTTAGACAGATCCAGCTGGAGAATACAGTGGATAGCATGCAGCTCAAAATCTACAGGAAACTACGCAAAACGACTTTCTGGTGTCTAGAGCTTGGTGCTGTAATCAACCCGGAAAATCGGCTGCTTTCCTATACAATAGGATTGTAAGAACTGATGACACAAACCTTCAAATTAATTATAGAAACACTAAAAGAGAAAGCAGACTGGAGTACCTGGATATCACTTTCAACAGAAACCTGCCCTACGTGGTTCATGTGGAGACAGGTGCAACAAAAAATATATATATATATATATATATATATATTTTTTTTAACGTATCCAGAAACCATGAGTTGTAAACTTTTTGGCTCGGTACTATGGATATCGCAACCCTTCGGCCTTGATTCCATTATAGGTACCGTTAATCTGGGAGAAATGTGGCTTTTCTGCCTACCCCCGGGAGTGAACCCGGACCACAAGGAGTTCGTCACCCGGCCGCCGCGAACGTCAGGTTTAACCAACTTCGCTAGAGAGCCGGGCAAACAAAATATGTAAAAAAGACTCAATGTACTCAAGATTATGGCAGCAACGAGCATGGAACAAGAACGATGTTCACTATGTTTCCAGCACGTCATCCTATCTGTGATAGATTATAGAATGCTTACCGTATCTAAGAACTAGCTAATGAAACTTTAGCGCATACAGGATGAAGCCATGAGGATAATTTTGGAAGGTACAAGAAATATCTTAGTAACATGAGTAAGTCAATTTGAAAAAATGTGTACCAAGATATTAGAAAGGGGATGTATACTAAGATAACAGAAATGAGGCTAAGACTAGTAATATCACCCCGGGACTACCCCAGAGTTCTACAAATTCACAAGTGCTCTTCAATGGATATACAAGCTAGGCTTAAAGCACCAGATGTTTGAAGGATATTGACATTTGCATATGATTTTGTTGCATATAGGCAGGGGAGTGATAGGCAACAGACAGCCCGAGAGCTACAGGCAAGTGTAAAAAAAAGTAACTGTTGTGCAGAGACGGATGTTGTCATCAACTCAGAGAAGGCAGCTGTTTTATAATGCTCTCCGGACGATAGAATTGTAAGAGCTAATGTTCAAATCCTCACAATTATTAACAGTAACATCAACAACAAGAAAAGAAAGCGAACTCGGGTACCTGGGTATTATTTTTGATAGAAGGCTTCCTTCAGGGATCATATGGAGGCAGCGGCAGTAAAATGTGAAAAAGGACTCGATGCTCTAAAGATTATGGCAGCACTGGACATGGAACAAAGAATGGTGTTCACAATGTTCTAGCATGTGATCCTGTTAGTGATAGATTATGGTCTTGGAATGCATACCACGCCGAAGAGTCAGCTGATGAAACTTGAACACACAAAGAATGAAGCCATGCGGGTAATTCTGGTATGTACAACAGATACCCTAGTAGTTTGTATGCGATATATACTTGCACTGTCTGT